GCAGTGGGAGGGCTCCTAGTGTCCTGGCCCCACTGGTGGACCTCCTGATGGCACCTGGTATTTCTGGCCACTATGTGACACAGAGTGTTGGACTGGATGGGCCTTTGGCCTGATCCAACATTGGCATCTCTTATGTCTCACACAGTGGACAACCTGTCTCACACCAGTGGACAACAGGGCATAGAGGTCGAGGCCTTCTCCTGATGTTGCCTCCTGGCTCTGGGCTTCAGAGGATTAGTGCCTCTGAATGTGGCGTTTCCCCTCGGTCACCTTGATAGACTTATCCTCCATGAACTGCTGGTGAGAGAACAGCTTTGAGAGATCTTGTGACTGACCCAAGGTCACACAAGCAGTGCATATGGAGGAGTGGGGAATCAAACCCCGTTCTCCCAGATTAGAGTCTGCGCTCCTAACCACTACGCCAAATTGGCAATTGTAAGCCACTTTGAGATACATGAGGCCTGCTGGGTTGACCGTAGGGCAGTCCCAGTTCTCTCAGAACTCTCTCAGCCCCACCTGCCTTACAAGGTGCCCGTTGTTGGGAGAAGAAGGGGGGAAGAAGAAGGAGAAGGAGAAGAGGAGGAGGAGATTGAATTTATACCCCACCCTTCAGTCGGAGTCTCAGAGCATTTTACAATCTCCTTCTCTTCCCCTCCCCATAACAGACACCCTGTGAGGTAGGTGGGGCTGAGAGAGCTCTGAGAGAACTGTCCTTGAGAGAACAGCTTTGAGAGAACTATGGCTTGCCTAAGGTCATCCAGCAGCTGCAAGTGGAGGAGTGGGGAATAAAACCCGGTTCTCCCAGATTAGAGTCCGCGCACTTAACCACTTTGAGATACAGGAGGCCTGCTGGATGACCTTAGGCCAGTCCCAGTTATCTCAGGACTGTCTTGGCCCCACCTGCCTCACAAGGTGCCTGTTGTGGGGAGGGAAAGGGAAGGTGATTGTAAGCTGCTTTGAGACTCCTTCGGGTAGAGAAAAGCAGGGTATAAAAACCAACCCTTCTTCTTCTGTATAGTCTTTAGGGTCGATGCGCTCATATGTATTTATTCCTAGAGAAATGCAGCATGGAGCGGAAACTTGAATGGCATCTTGAACACATGAAGCTGCCTTGTACGAATCGGACCCTTGGTCCATCGAAATCAGTATTGTCACACTGGCATTGGCTCTCCAGAGTCTCACGCTGAGGTCTTTCACATCGCCTGTTGCCTGGTCCCTTTGAATTGGAGATGCTGAGGATTTGAACTCAAGACCTTCTGCCTGCCAAGCAGAGGCCCTTCCGCTGAGTCACGGCCCACAACGTCCATGTGTCATGGGCCCAGTGCATATTGAGCATGAAATGGAATTTTCATTTAACAGCCCCCTCTTCCCCTCAAATGTAACATTTCCAAATGGAATTGGGTTCAGGCATTCATCTACAAGAGGCACTGATCTCTGCTGCCTGGAGATGAGTTCTACTTCTAGGAGATCCCCAGGCCATACCTGGAGTGTGACATGATCCAGGGCTCTTTTTGTAGAAAAAGCCCAGCAGGAACACATTAGCATAATAGGCCACACCCAACCACAGAAACTCATTAGCATATTAGGCCACACCCCTGACAGCACAGCTCATTGGCACATTAGGCCGCACCCCCACGTTACCAGAAGTGTGGTCATCCAGCCACACCCACCTTTTGCTTCTTATTCTGTTTACCTTGTTTGTTGTCCAAACCCAGGGCCTTTTTTTGTAGCAGGAACTCTTTTGCATTTTAGGCCACACGCCCCATAATGTAGCCAATCCTAATGAGTTTCTGCTGTTGGATGTGGCCTATTATGCTAATGAGTTCCTGCTGGGCGTGGCCAACTTGGGAGCCAGCCAGAACTCCGTTCCTGTGCGTTCCTGCCCAAAAATAGCCCTGGTGACATCCCTAGCACTCCTTTTACCAGCAGTGTTCTACCTGCCCCCTCCCAGTCATCATGAAAGGCACCGCAGTGGATGTTAAAATTCTTATTCAAGTGCATGATGCTGTTTGATGAAAGATAAAACTGAAAGTTGGGAAGAACCGGGGGGGTTGCTGATTTGTCCTCAGGAAAAGTTCACCAGGCGCACGGTTCATCAGGCAGAACCGTTGGACTAATCGTGAAAACCTGAAGCTTTCCGTGCATGTTATGTGTATAATCAGGTAGAAAATGTACAGTTTTGCGGAGTCAACAACGATTTGTCCTCGTAAGCCAACTGTGGAGAAGCTGAGGGCTGATTCTGTTAAAGAAAAGCAGGGCTTAGTTCTACTCCGGGGGGAAACCAACGTTATCTCAGAAGAAACGGCATGAAACTCTGCCTGTTTTACTGATGATCGGCTTCAAAAGGGAAAAAAAGAAGACATCCTCTTTCCCCCAGGACAAGATGTTTAATTTTTCAGCCTAACACATCTTGAAGCTTGGGTACAGACAGCTGTGCAGTCCATATGCTGTCCGAAATGACACGTAGCCATGCCTTCTCTGAAGTAAATTTTCTTGAGAAGAGGTATGGCAAGTTTGCGGACGCCTCGAAAGGAGGGAGGGTGCCCAATTGCTTTCTGGAATGTCTTGAAGGCTGGGGATCTTGAAGGAAAGGTAGCACCTCTTTAATGAGGCACCAAGTTTATCGTGAAGAAATCCACATACGGAGCTCTCATCCGGTGCTGTACCTGGGCTGAGGTAGAAACATAGAGCTGGAAGGTACCTCAAGGGTCATCTAGTCCAACCCCCTGCACAATGCAGGAGATTCACAAATACTTCCCCGCACCCACTCCCCCTGTGCCCAGAGGAAGGCAAAAAAACCTCCAGGATCCCTGGGCCAATCTAGTCTGGAGGAAAATTCCTTCCTGACCCCAAAGCGGTGATCAGCATTACCCTGGGCGTGTAAGAAAGGGCCACGAGAACTGAGCACTGAATTCCCCTGGGCGTGTAAGAAAGGGCCACGAGAACTAAGCACTGAGGCAACCCTTCCTGCCCTCCCTCTCATGATCTGCCCAAGTTCACAGAATCCACATTGCTGTCAGATGGCCATCCAGCCTCTGTTTAAAAACCTCCAGAGAAGGAGAGCCCACCACCTCCTGAGGAAGCCCGTTCCACTGAGGAACCATCCTGTCAGGAAGTTCTCCCTGATGTTTAGCCAAAAACTCGTGTGATTTAATTTCAACCTGTTGGTTCTTGTCCAACCTTTTGGGGCAACAGAAAACAACTCCGCACCGTCCTCTATATGACAGCTCTTCAAGTACTTGAAGATGGTTATATCATATCACCTCTCAGTTGTCTCTTCTCCAGGCTAAACATACCCCACTCCTTCAGCCTTTCCTCATGGGACTTGGTCTCCAGCTCCTCACCATCTTCGTCACCTTCCTCTGGACACAGCTTATCAGCATCCTTCTTAAACTGTGGTACCCAAAATTGATACCAGCTGCTGCAGCTGTTCATGGTATTTCCTGGGGTGTAGCATGCAGGAAAACAAGACAGTGTTGACTGCCAAGTAAATGTGTGACAGGCGTACTCAGATCAGCATGAATTGGGAGGTGGTATTCTTCTTGCTTTTGCTAAAATGCATTCTCCATCTCCTCCTTCCCAGCTTCCGCAGAAGACTTCTTCTACACAGCTCAAGGAGGAGATACCTCCATCGATGGAGTGGACGATGCCAGCGACTTTGAGAAGACCAGGCAAGCTTTCACGCTGCTCGGTAAGAGATGGGTTTCTAAAAAAAAATTGGACCACTTCCCAGTAGAACATTTGGATGATACCGCTGGTGGTTTGCAAATCACCCCAGCAGGAGCATTGATTCGATGGCGTGACCCTTGGTGGCATGAATCTTTTAAGCTTAGCTGTTTTTACCCTGCTCTCATGGTTAGTTTTTTCCCCTCAGATCGTGGTTAGTTGTGTTTTGTGCTTCTGTCGATTTTCCAATTAGGCCTGCAGTTAAGCTAATTATTTGGGGGGGAAATTGAGCAATTAAAACACTGCCCTGAGCGGCAGATTTTTGTTGTTGTTTTAAATGGAATTATTTTGTGTACTTTTCTAAAACTTGCATGGAGGGCGTTATCTTGGAAGACGCATCCCCCCCCCTCTTCTCTCTCAATGCCGAGAGGGGAAGGCCTCTTTGAAGCTGACTCCTGCTGCTGCGTGGTGGGGGTGGTGGGGGCGTTGGCAGAAGCCCCCTTCCAAGTTGTTTGTTCACAGGTTGCAATCCAAGTACAAGCCGTGTTCCCTTTAAGCTGAGTTAGTGTGAGCTAGCGGGGTACAAATTTGAATAATAAATAAATAAATAGTTTTTTAACCTCCGGTTCACACATTGTTGTCTTTAACTCAGGAAGGAGGGCTCCAGAGCAAACTAATTTATACAGCAGCCAAATCACCAACTCACAACCAATGCTCCCTCTGAGCTGTGGAGTCTTGTAAGCAAAAATTCTGCTTTGTGAGCTACTGGCATTAAAGTTGTGAGCGAGCGATTTGGCTACTGCATAAATTAGTTTGCTCCAGAGCCATCCTTCCTGAGCGAAGGCAAAAATGCGTGAGCCGGAGGCTAAAAAACTGTGAGCTAGCTCACACTAACTCAGCTTAGAGGGAACACTGCTCACAACTATAATTCCAGTAGCTCACAAAGTAGAATTTTTGCTCACAAGACTCCACAGCTTAGAGGGAGCATTGAGTACAAACCGTATGATTAACCAGCTAAGTATTACAAACTTGCTTCCCCCCTTAGTTTTAAGCAAAAGCTGAGGTACTCAGTGTGGGAACAGAATTCAGCCCTTGTGGATGTTTGCCAGCATGTACAAGCAACTCCAATTGTGAGAATTGGGTATTGATTCTTTCTTTCAGGTGTGAAGGAATCCCATCAGATGACCATTTTTAAGATACTCGCGGCCATCTTGCACCTGGGCAACTTGGACTTCCGATCGGAACGTGACGGCGAGTCCTGCACGATGTCGGTAATGCCTGTCAAACCTTGCTACTCTTTGCTTGCTTTGGGTTGCCATTGTTAATGGGGGGAGGGAATTCCTTACGGGAGGGGGTGGTATGAGTGCGTGAGTGAAGGAGACCTTTGCTTCAGCAGACATAACTTTCCAAGTCATCCTCCTTCCCTCCGTTTTCTTTTCCCAAGGGACGGTGTCCTTGAACAGCTCTCTGTGCCAACCTGGAATGTGTCAGGGTCCTTAGGTTACACAACACAGAGCTTCATGAGAAGATAACTGTTTATTGGTAGTTCCAGTACTAGAGACATGTGTACAGCTTGTGTCAGGAATGGCTGACAGTACTAGGGCCACTGACTTGTACTAGAATCAAACTTCCCCCCTGTAAGCATGAGCCAATGGATACATCTCGTGCGGGCGGGCAAAGCAAGCAGGCAAAGCAAAAGCCGTTAATTTTCCCAGCTGGGTAAAACTGCAGCTGGAGCATCTACAAGGTCAAGCATAAGATAGCAAACAGCTGGGTGAGGCAGGGAGAGCTGAGACAGAAAACAGGAGGGCACCCCTCCACATTCCAGACCTGTGACAGGGCTACCTGACAGAATGTAGATAACCAAGACATATATCTTTCACTTGGTTGGGATGGCAACGCTAGGGCGTGGTGTGAATGTGACGTGTGCTCGGGGGAAGGGGGAGGGGCTTTTCTTTGCATTTACTATATTAAGCTTGTGCCCGTGACACAGTGACTTTCTGGCTCTTGCATATACCTCAATGAACTTATCACTGCCAGAGTGAGAATTGTTGAGTATAACTGGACTGGGGTCTGACAGTGCCTTAGGAGGCGTGTTGCGGGCTCTGGGTTGGGAATTGCTAGAGATTTGTGGGGCAGTGAGTGGGGAGGGCAGAGACGGGAGACAGGAGGGGGCTCAGCAGGGATGTACTGCCGCAAAGCCCGCCTTCCAAAGCTTCCATTTTCCTCCAGGAGAACTGATCTGTGTTGTGTGGAGATCAGTCGTACTTCCAGGACACACAAGGACTGGCAGCCTCGTGTGAGATGTGTTGTTTGTGCCGATCGAAATGCCCTGGATCCTTATAACTATCATTGAACTGACTGGAAGGGGTGCCTGCAATATTATTTTGTAGCTCTGAGCTGTAGGAAGCTCCAGAGACAGAACTTTATATGGTGGTTCACTTTTCGAGGAGAGAGTGGGGGAGACATATTCAAGCTTTTACCGTGTGTCAGCTAGCTGCCATGGTGTTCTGTGTTACTGGTACTTAAACTGAGACATGCCCAGGCAGAGTGTACGAGCCACGAAAACAACCTTAGTTCCCCCATCCTTTTCAAGCAATCAATATGCACTAGGAGTCCTCCCCTACCTATCGCAGAGCTGTGTTGACAGACAGCTATATAACTGGACTCGTTATCGCCTTTACTGCCCAGCTGTTTCTTTCCAATCCGCATTCAAGCTGCTGAAGTGAGCTCATTACTGAGTAGCCACCCAGCATTAAATGAGTGCGTACGGTGCTGTCAAGTTGCAGCGCACTTACGGCGACCCCAGAAAGGGGCTTCCAAGGCAAGTGAGAAGCAGAGGTGATTTGCCATTGCCTGCCTCTGCAGAGTCTTCCTTGGTGGTCTCCCATCCAAAACTTATGGTGACCCCAGCAAAGGGCTTCCAAGGCAAGTCTGAAGCAGAGGTAGTTTGCCATTGCCTTCCTCTGTAGAGTCTTCCTTGGTGGTCTCACATCATAAGAACATAAGAGAAGCCAATGTTGGGGCCAGGACACTAGAAGCCCTCCCACTGTTGCCCCCCCGCACCAATAATACAGAGCATCAGTTGCCCAATACAGAGAGTTCCTATCTATACCTTGTGGCTAATAGCCACAGATGGACCTCTGCTCCATATGTTTATCCAATTCCCTCTTGAAGCTGTCCATGCTTGTAGCTACCACCACTTCCTGTGGCAGTGAATTCCAGGTGTTTATCACTCTTTGGGTGAAGAAGTACTTCCTTTTGTCCGTTCTAACCCGACTGCTCAGCAATTTCATTGAGTGCCCACGAGTTCTTGTATTGTGAGAAATGGAGTTCCAGCCGTTTGATCATTCTAGTTGCCCTTTTCTGCCCTTTTTCCAATGCTCTGTCTCCTTCTCGGTCTTCATCTCGGTCTCCTCTGTCTCTCTGTGTGCCTCAGTCCCCCCCCCTTTCTCGGTCTCCTTCTTGGTCTCTCTCTGTGTCTCAGTCTCCCTTTCCCTCCCTCTCTCTCTGTCTCCATCTCGGTTCCCCCCCAGGGTTCCATTTTAAAGGCATCTGGGATTTGCCTCACCTGAAGTAGCATGATACCTCTGGCTGAGATGAGGAAATTCCAGGGAAATAGTCCCCAGTGAGTCCTGCGAAAGAGAACTTGCTCGAGAGCTGCCTGTTGACAGCCTCTTGGCACGCTTCTATTCCAGCAGTACAAAATGCAACGGTAATGTTTCCAGTAAATCTATCGATCCTATCAGGGATTGTCATGTCCCATTTAGGGTAGTTTTATTTTTTAATTAAAATACGAAACTGCGCCTTTGCAGTGCTGCTGATGTTGCCCTGGAGATGTTGCCGTGGACTGTTTTTAATTTCGGGGCTTTGACAAATTAGGGTGCCCGAACAAATCTTTTTCTATAGCATTGTATCTTCTTCATGATTTTGGCATCGTTCTAATTAAAATGTAAGCGTAGCTGCGTGGTGTCGGGACTGTCTGTTACCTCGTTTAATTAGCAGTGAGACCAGAGGTCGATTTGTGGGGGATCGCGGGGGATCGCAGTCCCCCTGGGTGGGGGGCGGAGCACACAACGAAACCCCGCCCCCTGCTTCCGGCCACCCCGCTTCCAGCCCTCATTCAGCCAGGAGGAGGCAGGAGAAGAGGGAGGGTAAGTTTTTTCCTCCCCGCCTCTCCCCACCCCTGCCTGCCTGTGGCCAGGGAGGGCCTTGGCGGGGCTTCCTCGCACTCCCGCCGGCCTTGCAGGTCTACCGCCGGGCCCCTGATGTCAGGGGGTGTGGCATATGCTAATGAGTTATGCTAATGAGTTCCCCTAGCTCTTTTTCTACAAAACGACCCCTGAGTGAGACAACTCAGTGTAACAAAATTAGGACTGTATGGGGAAGAGGATAGGAGGGTGTTGCCTTTGGTCACAGCTTTGTTGACTCTTGATTTTGCTCGAATATGTCCTGAGTTTCCATAGATTTATGGAGGATAAGTCTATCAGTGGCTATTAGCCATGGTGACTGAGGGGGACCGCCAGAGCCAGGAGGCAGCATCAGGAAAGGCCTCAGCTTCCATGCCCAGTTGTTGGACCTCCAGAGGAACCGGTTGGCCACTGTGTGTGAGACAGGATGCTGGACTAGTTGGAACACTGGTCTGATCTAGCAGGGCTTTTCTTACGTTCCTGTGAGTTGCAGGCCACACAGGACAGAGAGGCAACTGGAAGGGTTGGCTCTGAATCTCGGTCTCAGAGTTTATAGTGTATGATTCCTGCATCGTGGATGGTCCTGGATAGTTTGATCTCATCAGATCTCGGAAACTAAGCAGGGTTGGCTCTGATTAGTACTTACTTACTTACTTACTTACTTACTTACTTTATTGTATTTATACCCCGCCCTCCCTTCCTTGGATGGGAGACCACCAAGGAAGTCATAGAATCATAGAGTCGGAAGGGACCTCCAGGGTCATTAGTCCAACCCCCCTGCACAATGCATGGGATTCACAAATACCTCCCCCTCCACACCCCCAGTGACCCCTGTTCCACACCCAGAAGAGGGCAGAAAAACCTCCAGAGTCTCCAGCCAAATTGGCCCGGAGAAAAATTGCTTCCTGACCCCAAAGCGGCGATCAGCATTTCCCGGAGTTGCTATGTGGAAGCAGGTGATGGCAAACCAGCTCTTGCCTTGAAAACTCTATGGGGTTGCCACAAGCCAGCTGTGACGTGATGGCACTTTCCACCACCTTCTACACACACACCCCAATTATCACACACACTGGGTATTAAGAACAGAAGAGGAGCCATGTTGGATCAGGCTGTTGGAGATCTGATCGGCTATGCAGATTTTTTTTTAAAGGTTGCTTCAGCAGCCGCCGCCACCCTAGCATAAGGATCTTACCTTCAGTCACGCAGTGAAGCTGTGTGCATGCAAGAAAATGTTTTAGACGGTATGTTCATTTTAAAAAGGCCTCCTATTATAAACAGCTTCTGCCTGAAGGGTCACTATTAGACTTCTGCCTGACCTCACCCCCCTGACATTTTGTGGTTGGCTCCCCCTCTTCCGGCAGCCATTTTGTCAGTACCTCGCCTCCTGTGGCAGCCATTTTGGGGTCCCGCCCACTACCCTGTTAGAATTCCAAAGCTTGCCTACAGGCTCAGCAAGGTTGGGGATCCCTGGTCTAGATGCTGCACTTTGCTATAGGACTTGGCATCTCTGTGTGCCCCTCTTCCACGTTCCAGCTGGCCATCTAGTACAATTCACTGTGTGAGTGGGGCCATTGCATAGTGCTGTTGTTGTTGTTCAGTCGCACAGTCGAGTCCGACTCTTCGCGACGCCGTGGACCACATCACGCCAGGCCCTCCTGTCTTCCATCGTCCTCCAGAGTTTGCTCAACTTCATGTTTGTCACATCGATAACACTGCCTAACCATCTCATCCTTTGCCGTCCCCGTCTTCTTTGACCTTCAGTCTTTCCCAGCATCAGGGTCTTCTCCAGTAAGTGCTCCCTTCTCATTTGGTGGCCAAAGTATCTGAGCTTCAGCTTCAGGATCTGGCCTTCCAGGGAACAGTCAGGGTTGATTTCTCTTAGGATTGACTGATTTGATCTCCTTGCAGTCCAAGGGACTCTCAAGAGTCTTCTCCAGCACCATAATTCAAAAGCATCTATTCTTCTGCGCTTGGCCTTCCTTACGGTCCAACTCTTGCAGCCATACATTACTCCTGGGAATACCATTGCTTTGACCATATGGACTTTTGTTGGCAGGGAGATGTCTCTATTTTTTATTACGCTGTCTAGATTTGCCATCGCTTTCCCCATTAATGGTGGTTGCCAGTGAGTGCAGGGAAAGTTGGCGTATGATAAAGTGATTCATACTAGATCATACACCAAATGTTGAGAAATTCTCCACTGGGTGACTGTCAAACATCGCCCTGCTCAGTTTGCCATGGTTGATGGGGGAGGGGAATTTCTTAGGCAGGGGTGTAGAGCGAGTGTGCAATGTGTAACTGCACTATCTTAGAGGCGTAATTCTTCTGAAGAAGCCTTCTTCTCTCCCAGAGGAAAGTCCTTGAAAACATTTGGTGCCAGCTTGCTTTTGTAGATAATGTGATCGTATATTTCCCAGGTGAAAGGAGGGTAATGCCACTGGGGCTAGGCGGAGTGGATGTGATGTGTTGAGTGGGCCTTAGGAGGGGTTACGTTTGAATTACCAGTTTTTAGAGGAGGAAAACAGGGAAAAAAATATTCTGAACCCTGGGGCTCAGTATTCGGTCCATAAGACGCACACACTTTTCCCCTCACTTTTTTTGGAAGAAAAAGTGAGTCTTATGGTCCAAAAAATACGGTACGTATATCTATGATTATACCCGCCAAAAACTTCAGAACTGACACAGTACTGTGATGACCTGGACCTTGCTCATAACTCAGTAAACATATCACTGCCAGAGAGAGTGTCGTTGAGAATAACTTGCCCAGGAGTCTGACAGTGACCTGAAAATTAGCAACCTGCAGTGCATCTGATGGGCAGTGTTCCCTCTAAGCTGCATTAGTGTGAGCTAGCTTACAGTTTTTAGACTCCAGCTCACACATTTTTGTCTTAGCTCAGGGAAGATGGCTCCAGAGCAAACTAATTTATGCAGTAGCCAAATCGCTCGCTCACAACTTTAATGCCAGAGGTTTTGCTCACAAGACTCCACAGCTTAGAGGGAGCATTGCTGATGGGTGGGTGTGGTAATGTGGGTTTTTAAGGCTCCCGATGACCAGTTTATAGAATTGTAGGATCACAGAGTTGGAAGGGGCCATACGGGGTATCTAGTCCAACCCCCTGCTCAATGCAGGATCAGCCAAGAGCATCCCTGACGAGTATCGTGGTGCAGCTTATTAGGATGAATTAAAACTACACCGAGGGGTGGGCATGGCAGTGCCAGTGGCCCGTTTTTAAATTGAGCCCCGCCCTGCACACTCCCCCCCCCCGAGTGTCAGTCAGAAGGGTGGGTGGGCTCTTGTCACCTGGCTGCATGCCTTTGCTGAATCAGATGTCTTTCTTTATGTCCTAGAAACAGGATGAACACCTGCGTAATTTTTGCAGATTGCTGGGCGTGGAGCACAGCCAGATGGAGCACTGGCTGTGCCATCGGAAGCTGGTCACCACTTCGGAGACCTACGTCAAGCCCATGTCGGTCCAGCAGGTGGTGAACGCCAGGAACGCGCTGGCCAAGCACATTTATGCCCAGCTGTTCAACTGGATCGTGCAGCACGTCAACAAGGCACTCTACACGACAGTCAAGCAACACTCCTTCATCGGCGTGCTGGACATTTACGGGTAGGAAGAGAGCGTTGGGGGTGGGGACGCGTCTGTTGCTTTGGCATTTGGAGCTTTGGTGGTTTGGTTTTGTTCGCCAGGGTTAGTCGTGCAGCTGATTGCGAGGAAGGGGTGAAACTTGCATTTCCCAGGTCACTAACGCTGTCATAAGAGTTAGCATGTTCAACCACTGCACATTCCTAGCTCAAGGCAAGAGAGCCAGTTTGGTGTAGTGGTTAGGAGTGTGGACTCTAATCTGGGAGAACGGGGTTTGATTCCCCACTCCCCCCCATGCAGCTGCTTGTGTGACCTTGAGTCAGTCACAAGTTTTTTCAGAGCTGTTCTCTCAGGAGCAGTTCTCGAAAGAGCTCTCTCAGCCCCACCGACCTTACAGTGTCTCTGTGGTGGGGAGGGGAAGGGACAGGAGATTGTAACCCGCTCTGAGACTCCTTTGGGGAGTGAAGGGCGGGGTATAAATCCAATCTCCTCCTCCTCCTCCTTCATTGCCAAAGGCTATGACTCCAACTTTGTTGTTAAGCAGTTGGTCCTAGAGAAGTTGGCCCGCAGCTGGTTACAGCAGGAGGAAAACTGATGTGTGTCACCATAAAAAGTCTCAACATAAAATGCATTGATTCTCTGAATCGCCGGCCCAGGCAAAGGGTGTTTCCCCCACTTTTTAAATTATTACTTTGTTTGTATTACTGCTTTTATTAGTACTTTTTTGTTTTTGCTTTTATTATTACTTTGCAGTGCACTTGTTCAGTAGGGGCTGGGGCTGTACGGGAAATGGTATGGTGGGTTCCGTGTCAGTAATATCGAAAAATCTGTAAAACAGCCCCACAAGAAGCAGAGCTTTGCATCTTTTCCTAAAGGCGATTGATGCTTAACTTCCTCAGGCAGGCCTTTCTGTACAGTGGGACCCATTTCTGACAGCGCTCATTTTCTGGACAAGGTGGTTCACCTACCCTTAGGAGGTCCGGATCATGAGTGAGAGGACTGTCATGGAGCCGTGGGTTCAGATGGCTGTTTTAGATATGTGGGCCTCAGACTGTGAAGGAGAATCTTGGTAATTGTCATAGTGGCCCAGTTAAGCAGACCTGTACCCAGGTGTGTGTGTGGGGGGAGTTGGGGGGCAGTGCCCCCACCACAGTTTTAAGCTGCCCCCTTGGACAAAAATCGGGAAAATTACAAAAATGTAAGATGTGTGTGTGGGTTCCAAAATGACCCCATGCATAGTCAGGGAAGCTTCAATGTCATTTTCTTTTTTTCCGGCCCGAAAAATAAATAGGTTCCCAAAAAATGCAAATAAAATGAAATAAATTTGCAAAAAATAAAAACTGCAAAACGCAAAAGACAGAGAGAGTTGGAGATCTCCTCCCCCCTCCCCCAGCTTATATATAAAAGCAGCTTGGAATCGAGTCTCTCCAATCGAAAGGAGTAGAGGAGTAGAAGGAGGGCACAGTGCTGCTTCTGCTGCTGCAAGAGGAGTAGCAGGCACAGTTGGAGTGCCGCCCCCCCAGATTTCCCTAAACCCCACCAACGCCCCTGT